GATGAGACCACTGCCTGTATAACTACTTGAAAAGTCTGACTGACTGTGAAATGTGCTAGTTTACTATTTTGCAGTGGCATGATTATCAATTCACCTCCAAGCCTTACGTGGCAGTGAGTGACAGGGCTGCCTTGGCAAAGCTTAGCTGATCTCTATTCATCCTTCTCTCATTAAAAAGCCGAGGAAACTGCTTGCTTAAAGTTTCAATTGGTATTATTTTCAAATTTCATGAGGGGAAAAAATATATGCTATTTTGAAACTCGTAAGACTGTCAAAGGTTTCAGGGCATATTTTTCACAACTGGCAGTTTTCCGCATGAAAAAAACCTTCAAATAGCATCTCCATGGAGAACAGGAAGTAACACTGCTTTGCTAAAGTTATTTGATTGCCTTTATGTACTAAGTAAATTTAATTTAGCAAAGCAGTAGTTGGGAAGTCTGCATAAGATAACAGGCATTTTGTTTTACTCCCTCAAATATTATAAATAGGCTTTAAACATGAAAAAATAAGTCACAGTTCCACTCCCTCCTGAATCACAGTGCCTTGAGATAATCACCGGGCACAGCACAGAGAGAATCCCTGGGAATGCTCTGTTTTAGAAGTTTAATGTACACATTTTTTATTGTACACAAATGAAATCATTCTACATATGTATTTCCTTGATAGTTCTTTTTTACAGCATTTTGTTGTTCCTATGGCATAACTATTAATCAAATTTTTCTTATTTACTACATAATAAAATTTATTATTGGGGGGCATTTAAATTGTTTTTTCTGTCTCTCTTTTTTATTTTTCCCAGTAACAAAGAGTGCCTCCATAGTGAAGAACTGGGAGAACATCGGCCAGGACTGGGATCCAGGCTGACCCAGGAGTTTTACCACTGGGCAACACTGCCTCCCATCTGTGGCATTTTAACTGTCACCTGATCTGTTGTTATGGAAATCAGAAAACTTCAATTTTTACAAACTTCTCTAGCAAGTCTTAAAGCCAAATAATAGCAAGGGTAAACTTAGTGTGAGTGCTATAGGAGGAAACAGTGATATTACTAGAAATTCTGTCTCATTGTTTTTAGTCTTTATTTTTTCCTAAGATGCTCACTAAAGCAGGGTTTTGCTAAAAGAAAAAAAAGCATTAAGAGCATAACAGAAAAATGAAAGGCAAACTATGCAAGAATAGAGTAAAAAATATGCTTTAAGTGCTAACTGGAAGTTTCCTGTGATTAAATATATTTCTTTTCAAAATAAAAAAGAATGCTTTGTGGGCTGGGGAGTGGCTCAAGTGATAGAACGCCTGCCTACCAAGCACGAGGCCCTGAGTTCAAACCCCAGTATTATCCCCTGCTCCCCCCAAAATATATATATACATACACATATATTATTGTCCATGTTTATAAGTGAAATGACCAGTCTAAGGAAATGCCTCTTACAAGTGATGATAGCACTACCCTTCTAGAACAGTCACACCAATTTATAGGTTCACTTTCACTAATAAGGATACTATCTATCCTTATCATTTTTACCCATTTTGTTTTATTTATTTTCTGGAATAAGGATTAATATTTTTTTCACAAGTTATACTGACTGTATGCATTTATTTTTCTTATTCATGTACTTGCCCTTTTTCATATGTCACAAATATTTGTCTCAATTCTATCTTCTCTTTTTCTACATTATGGTGTTTCATTATTATGCAGTTAAATTTATAAGTTCTGGCCTTGGCAACATATGTAGAAAGATTCCCTCTATGACAAGATCATAAAGCTGTTTTCTCATAGTTTCCTGTGATACTTTCCATTTTTAAATCTAGAAAGCTCAAATTAATTTAGGAAAAGATATGACGTAGCAATGAAATTCATGTTTTCCCAAATTAATTATACTAACAACATGCACTGACTAATTTATTTCCCCACTGATTTGAAGTTTTTCCTCTGCCATATAATAAACTGACATGTATGCCTTTTTGCACTGGCACCTGCTATGTTAGTATTTCTAGGACATTCCTACCCCACTCCATCCTGCTCTCTTACCTTTGTTTTAAAAACTTATTTGGCTTCTTTTGAGGAATTTCTGCCTACAGAGGCACTTTTGAACAAACCAGAATAAATTTAGGGGAAAATTTGGGAGAAAAATGACACAGCTACCATATTGGGTCTTCACACAGAAGATGACACTCTATTTATTCAGGCTTTTATTGTCTTTTCATAAAATTTTATTATTTTCTTCCTCTAGGTCTTGTTTTTTTTTTTTTTGGTAGCACTGGAGATTGAACTCAGGGCCTCTTGAGTCTTACACTCCAGCCCTTTTTGGTTTAATTTACTTTTCAGAAAGAGTCTCATGCTTTTGCCTAGACCATCCTCAAACCACAATCCTTCTACCTCCCAAGTGGATGGGATTACTGGTACGTACAACCACACCCAATTTGTGTTTTCAGATAGAGTCTGGGTGACTATTTTGCCCAGGCTCAAGCTGCAATTCTCCTATATCAGTCTCTCAAATAGCTAGGATTACATATGTGCACCACCTCACCTCACCAGGCTTTTTTTTTTTTTTTTGTAGTACTGGAGATTGAACTCAGGGCCTACTACTTGCTAGGTAGGCACTCTATCACAAGAGCTATACCCCAGAACCCTAGGCCTTTTTTTTTTTTTTGGTTTTACTGGTGATTGAATGCAAGGGTCAAGCGAGCTAGGCAAGTACTCTACTACTCAAGCCATACCCTCACCCTCCGTTTTGGCTTTTTGGAGATAAGGTCTTGCTAATGTACCCATCCTCGCCTCAAAGCTGAAATCCTCCTGCCTCTGGCTCCCAAAGCTGGGATTACAGATATGCACCACCATGCCCAGTGGTCTTGCATTATTTCTTAAGTTTATTCTTAATAACTTTTGAGTAGCAGTAGCTTCTGTGAACACGACCTTTTGCTTTGTACAGAAAAGCAACTGCTTTCTCCCTGTTTACTTTCTATGTGGCCACCTCACTGAGCTTTTCAGCTTCATGTGTAGAACTTACTTATCAAAGTACTACCTGTGATTGATTTTTAAAACTTGAGGGATAGATCGGGGATGCAGCTCAGTGATGGACCACATGCATAACATGTGCAGGCTCTGGGCTCAATCCCTAGTGCCACAGAAAACAAAAAATTGCGGGCCTCTAGAAAAGCAAATCTTCTACCCAGCCTTGCTCTCTTCAAGACAACTGTTATAAACTCTCTTGTACTTTTCCTGATTCTCTTCTAATGTTCTAGGTATATCATCAATTTGTCTACAAATGTTGATGATTTTCTCCTCTTCCATGGTTTGCTCTTATTTCTCTTGTCAGCAGCCTTCTTCCTCCAGAAGAGGGAAAGTGATATTGTCAGTAGGTGTCCCAGCTCATTCCTGACTTTAATGGAAAATACTGAATGCTTTACCACCACTACTCATGGTGATCACTGTTGCTTCTGGTGGGTAATCCTCATCAGGTTAACAATATTTCTATCCTTAACTTAGTAAAAGATTTTTCTTCTTCTTTTAATCAGGAATGGATTTAGAAATTTGTTAAAGTCTATTTGGGCATTTTGGCTTGTTGTTCTCTAATAAATCACATTTTCTAATGTTAATGACTCATCCATTACTATCATAAATATTACTTGATCTCTGTGTTACTGTTTTAGTAGACTACTGAATTCCATCTGCTAATATTTAAGATTGGCTGATCTACAATATAAGTGTGAGTAACATATTTTTTTTTCCTTTTTAATGGTATCCGTCAAACTTTAGAAATGGGGTTATTTTAGTACTTTAAATATTAGGTTAAATATCTTAACCAGAAATCCAGGGTTCTCACCATAACCTTTACATGAAAATTTAGCATACCAATTATAGACTTATAAAGCACATATATAGTTCTTGCCAAGTGGACTTGAAGCATGTAAAAGACTCCTTCTCCAGTTAATAAACATTTATCAATCAGCTAAAGTTCACCTTGCTCTGTATGTCCAAAATAAAAAGTGTTTTCAATTAATGAAAGTGGTAACATAGAGGTTTTTGATCCATTTTGAGTTAATTTTTGTATTCAGTGAGAGGAAGGGATCTAGATTCATTCTTGTGCATATGTACATCCAATTTTGCACCACCATTTGTTGAAGAGACTGTCCTTTTTCCACTCTATGTTCTTCACACTTTTGTCAAAACTCCCATTGGCTATATGAATGTGAATTAATTTCTGGGTTGTCTGTTCTGTTATTAGGTCTGTGTGTCTGCTTATATACTAGGCATATGATTATTTGGTTACCACACAGTAAACCCTTAGTATCCAAAGGCATATGGTTCTAAGGAGACCACCAATGAGGAAAAACCACAAATGCTCAGGATGCATCCAGTTCAGTAGTACTGCACCATGGATGCTTGATACACTTCTCCCTCTAAAGCCATGCCGCCTTTCAACATCTCATATTTCTACTTTATCACTTAAATTAAGTACATTCACTTTTAGCTTGCTTTCATTTGCTTTTGGGGAGGCAGATTTTCATAAAATTAAGGTCAGGGAAACACTCAGAAGATCACACACAATTTAAACACAACTGACAACAATGCAGGACAGACTGAACTTCTCTGTATCAACTATACTGAGTAATGAGCACAAGGGAATTGAAATTTTTGTTTATGAAGCTTCTTTTGATTTTTTAAATTTGGTTTTATTATCAAGCATGGTTAAAACCATGAGTAATAAATCCACAAATTAGATCAGTATACTGTATAGCCTTTTGCATTTTAAGGTCTGGTCCTTTTATTCCTCATTTGTTGAAAGTTTTTTAGCAAGGACATTGAGTCTTACTAATTGCTTTTTCTGCACCTATTAAAATGATCAAATGGTTTTTGGCCTTCATTCTGTTCATGTGTTGAACTATGTTTGTTAACTTGTGTATGCCTAACTACCCTTGCATCCCTGGAATGAATTCCACTTGATCAAGGTGTGTGATTTTTTTTGTTGTTGTTGTGCTGTTGAAATTGGTTTGTTGGTGTTTTATTGAGAATTTTTGCATCTATGCTCATGGGCTTATAGGTGGGTTTTTTTTGCATCCTTTATCTGGTTTCGGTATCAGGTAATTCTGGCCTCAAAGTTTGCCAGAGTTCCTTCCATTTCAATTTTTAAGAACAATTATTATTGTAATTATTAACTTATTATACAAATTAATGAGATTCAGTGTAATATTTCCATGCACACATATTATCATGCATTGTTCATGCCCATTTACCTTTCTTCTACCTTCTATCCTCCCCCTAGGTACCTTCCCAGTCCCTAGCAATTGCTGTTCTACTTTGAAGTTACTTTTTTTTTTTAAGTTTCCACACCTGAAAAAGAATATCCAGTACTTGTTTGTGTCTGACTTATTTCACATAACATGATGTACTTTGGTTCCATTCATTTTCCTGCAAATGGCAGGAATTCATTCTCTATGGCATGCATACACCATGTTTTCTTTATCTAATCATCTAGATTGGTTCTTTATCTTGGCTATTGTTAATAGTATTGCTATAAACATGGACTTGCAGCCATCTCTTTTATATGCTGACTTCATTTCCTTCAGATACATACCCAAGAGTAGGTAAGCTGGATCATATGATAGTCCTAGTGTTAGCTTTTTAAGAAACCTCCATACTGTTCTACATAGTACTAATTTACATTCCCACCAACAATATATACGGGTTTCTTTTTCTCCACATCCTTTCCAGCATTTGTTTCTTGTTTATTATATTGCTACTGATACCTGAGATCATGCAGTCCCACTAGTCCCCCTGCAACCCTGTTCCCATTGGTGGTGGAGGTGGTCCACCAATGGTGGCAGGGGCCTTTGGCAGGGAGATATGGTGCCTGCCAAAGCTGTCAGTAATGAGGCCAGGGCCACCCTTAACACCAATGGTCTCCAGAAAGTTCTTGGAGTGCTGGCTGTCCTTCTTGGGGATGAAGGGCCTCAGATCGAGCAGCAGGAACTTGCAGCTGTCTCCATAGAGCTGCTGTGGGCTGATGCAGAACTTGTGGATGGAGGCCCTGTTGCAGTATTGGTGCAGCAGCACCGTGAGCTGCTGGGTCTGCTACAACACCTTGGTGCGCAGCATCATCATGCAGTCCTGGAAGCAGCTCCATGCCAGCTTGCTCTCAGAGTCTTGCCATGGGGTGACAACAGCATGCAGAAGGGCAAGGGTGACAGGCCTCCAACATCTGTGGAGTCAGAGAAGAAGAAGGTGCTGGTCTCTGCACTACAGGGCTCCATGTCCACTTTCGTGGAAGTCATTGCTCAGTCCATAAAGTCGATGGTGGACTCTATGTAAACAATCTGGAAAACCTGGCTGAGCAGGGAGCACAGCAGTTCCACAGCGAACTTGGTCTCTGAAGCCAGGATGACCAGGCAATAGACTGACCAGGCAATAGACTGCGACGGCCCCACCATGCTTTCCAACAGGGAGCCTGTGCTGAGGCATCTGGAACTTTCTGCACCTGTGTCCTGGGCAGTCTTCAGGACCAGCAGGTCTCAGACAAAAATGTCTGAGATGGGCACCGAGACAGACCAGCTTGATGTTATAGGCAGACAGGCGGAGCACAGCACTGTGCTCCTGGGTCAGGTGTCCAGGAAGCTGGTGGACTAGCTTTGCACTATGAAATGCAAATTTTAGTCCTACTGGAGAGATTTAAATGACCTAAGTAACTCAATTCCTTTTCAATACAGTCTCTCAGCAGGCTTAAGGTGCTCCAGCAATAAGGACACCATAGTGTACAAAAGGTGCCTTCTCACAGGCTTTCTTGTCTCCACTCTTTTCATCTATCAGAATACTCATTTAAATGGTGCTGTTAATTCCAGGCTTCTTACCCTCCTCCTCCATGTCAGTTGGCCTGCCTCAGGTCTTACAAGTCTTTGATCTATTTTGAGTCAGCTTTTTTTTTTTTTTCCCCTGTACAGGGAGAGTGCTAGGGTTCAAGCTTCAATCTTCTGTATGTGGATATCCAGTTTTCCCAGCACCATTTCTTGAGGAGGTTGGTTTTTCTCCAATGTATGTTCCTGGCATCTGTATCAAGAAATCAGTTGGCTATAGATGCATGGATTTTTTTCTGGGTTCTCTATTTTTTGTGCATGCAAGTGTGATACTGGAGACTGACTGAACGAACGGCCTCATGCTTGCTAGGCAAGCACTCTACCACTTGAGCCACATCTCTAGCAATTTTTGCTTAGTTTTCAGATAGGGGTTTCATGCTTTTGTCCAGGGCCGGCCTCAGACTGCGATCCTCCTACCTCTGCCTCTTCAACAACTGGGATTACAGATGTGTGCCACCGTGCTGGGCCCCTGGGTGTTCTATTCTGTTCCATTGGTCTATGTCTCTGTTTTTATGACAGTATCCTGCTGGGTTTAGCTTTTACTATGGCTCTATGGTATTTCTTTTAATCAGGTATTGTGACTCCTCTAGATATGCTTTTTTTTTCTCATGATTGCTTTGGCTATTTGGGATCTTTTGTGCTTCCATCTAAATTTTACTATTTTTTTCTAGTCCTATGAAGAATGTCATTGGTATTTTGATAAGGATTCCATTGACTCTATAGACTGCTTTGGGACATTTTGAATAAAGTCCAATTCTTCCAATTTATGAACATGGTAGGTCTTTAGTGTCCTGAATATTCAACTTCTAAGTGTTTTGTGATTTTTACTGTAGAGTTCTTTCACATTCTTAATTAAGTTTTTTTCCTAGGCACTTTATTTTTTTGTGGCTATTGTGCATGAGATTGTTTTCATGATTTCTCATTAATTTCATTATTGTTATATAGAAAAGTTACTGCTTTGTATGTTGACTTTGTATCCTGCTACTGTACTGAATTCATTTATCAGGTCTAATATTTTTTGGTGGAGTTTTTCATGTATAGAAGCATATCATCTGCAAATAAAGATAATTTGACCCCCTCCTTTCTTTCTCATGCCAAATTGCTCTGAAACGTCTAGTATTAAATGGAATATGAACAGTGAGAGCGAACACCACTGTCTTATTCCTGATTGTCAAGGAAATGCTTTAATATTTCCACATTTATTATGTTATTGGCTATAAGTTTGTCATATATGCCTTTTATTATGTTGAGGTATAATCCTTCTAAACCTAATTTGTTCAGGGCTTTCACAATGAAGGGATGATGAATTTCATCAAATGCTTTTTTTCTACATCTATTGAGATGATCAGGTGATTTTTATACCTCTATTTATGTGATGCTCAAAGGGAGTAACCTTACATAAGTGATGCCTATATACTGACCTTCTTTGTCTCTTCTTGTTTTTGTCTTAAAAGTCCATTTTGTCAGATATTGCTTATTTTGGATTCCAATTGCTTGGAATATCATTTTCCATCCCTTCACTTTCAGTCTGTGTGTCCTTTCTAGGGAGGTGAGTTTCTTATAGGAAACTTATTGTTTTGTTTTTCAATCCATTCAGCTACTCTGTATCTTTTAACTGAAGAATTAAGACCATTTACTTTCATAGTTAGTCAATAAAGGCCTGCTATTTTGCTGATCTTCTAGTTTTTTTTTTTTAATACTGTTTGATTCTTCCTCTCATTCATCTTTGTGGTTTGATGATTTACTGTACTGACAATATTTTATTTTTTCACATTTCTCTTTTGTTATCTACTCTTTATATTTTGCAGGCTGTCATGGTAGTTATCTTTCACTTCTGAGTACAGGACTCCCTTTATGCATCTTTTGTAAGGCTGCTCTCGTGGTCATGGATTCCCTTAGCTTTTGCTTATCTTGGAAGATCTTTATTTCTCCTTGGATTCTAAAGGACAGCTTTGCTGGATATAGTAATCTTGGCTGTCCATTACATTTTTAAGGACTTGAACTACATCATTTCATGACCTAGAGCCTGTAGGGTTTCTGCTGAGAAATCTGCATCATTCTAATGGGGTTACCCTTAAATGTGTCTTGCTGCTTTTCTCTTGCAGAGTTTAAATTTTTCTTTGTCCTGTACTTTTGATAGTTTGACTGTAACAGGTCATGGTTAGGATCTTTCCTGATCATGTTTATTTGAGGTTCTACAGGCCTCTTGTACCTGGATATCCATGTCTTTCCCAAAGATTTGGAAGTTTTTACAGAAATGGGTTTTTAGCCTTTATTTTACCCCTTTAGGTATGCTGTTGATCTTTTAATTGTGTCTCAAAGACCTATGTTCCCTTCATTTTTTTTTATTTCTGTCTGAATGTGCTATTTTAAAAACCTGTCTTCACATTCTGATACTCTTTCTTCAGCTTGATCTAGTCTGTAATAAGCCTTTTAACTGTTATTTTTTAATATGACTCATAGAGCTATTTCCAAACTTTCTGACTGGTTATTTTTCAAAATATCTCTTTGTTCTCTTAAGTTGATACAAGAAAGAGTAGGAAATACTCTGGAGTTAGTAGGTATAGGTAAGAACTTTCTCAATGAAACCCCAGCAGCACAGCAACTAAGAGATAGCATAGATAAATGGGACCTCATAAAACTAAAAAGCTTCTGTTCATCAAAAGAAATGGTCTCTAAACTGAAGAGAACACCCACAGAGTGGGAGAAAATATTTGCCAATTATACATCAGACAAAGGACTGATAACCAGAATATACAGGGAACTTAAAAAACTAAATTCTCCCAAAACTAATGAACCAATAAAGAAATGGGCATGTGAACTAAACAGAACTTTCTCAAAAGAAGAAATTCAAATGGCCAGAAAAACACATGAAAAAATGCTCACCATCTCTAGCAATAAAGGAAATGCAAATTAAAACCACACTAAGATTCCACCTCACCCCTGTTAAATAGCCATCTCAGCAACACCACCACAACAGGTGTTGGCGAGGATGCGGGAAAAAGGAACCCTCTTACACTGTTGGTGGGAATGTAGACTAGTACAACCACTCTGGAAAAAAATTTGGAGGCTACTTAAAAAGCTAGACATCGATCTACCATTTGATCCAGCAATACCACTCTTGGGGATATACCCAAAAGACTGTTACTCCAGAGGCACCTGCACACCCATGTTTATTGCGGCACTATTCACAATAGCCAAGTTATGGAAACAGCCAAGATGCCCCACCACTGACGAATGGATTAAGAAAATGTGGTATCTATACACAATGGAATTTTATGCAGCCATGAAGAAGAACGAAATGTTATCATTCGCTGGTAAATGGATGGAATTGGAGAACATCATTCTGAGTGAGGTTAGCCTGGCCCAAAAGACCAAAAATCGTATGTTCTCCCTCATATGTGGACATTAGATCAAGGGCAAACACAACAAGGGATTGGACTATGAGCACATGATAAAAGCGAGAGCACACAAGGGAGGGGTGAGGATAGGTAAGACACCTAAAAAACTAGCTAGCATTTGTTGCCCTTAACGCAGAGAAACTAAAGCAGATACCTTAAAGCAACTGAGGCCAATAGGAAAAGGGGACCAGGAACTAGAGAAAAGGTTAGATCAAAAAGAATTAACCTAGAAGGTAACACCCACGCACAGGAAATCAATGTGAGTCAATGCCCTGTATAGCTATCCTTATCTCAACCAGCAAAACCCCTTGTTCCTTCCTATTATTGCTTATACTCTCTCTACAACAAAATTAGAGATAAGGGCAAAATAGTTTCTGCTGGTATTGAGGGGGGGGGGGAGGGGGTGGAGTGGGTGGTAAGGGAGGGGGTGGGGCAGGGGGAGAAATGACCAAGCCTTGTATGCACATATGAATAATAAAGAAAAATGAAAAAAATAAAAATAAATAAAATAATAAATAAATAAAAATAAAAAAATCTCTTTGTTTTTAAAAGTCATTCTTTTGAGTTTTTCATCAGGCACTTCATCTACTGTGGTATCTTTGGCATCTGTTACTAGAGAACATAAATTTTGAGGTGTCATATTACCTTGCTTTTTCATATTTCTTATAGTCCTATGTTGAAGTTTGTACATCTGGTAAAATAGATATCACTACTACTTTTATGGGATGCCCTTCTTAGTGGTTTTCTCCTAATGATGTGTTTTGGAATATCAGTCTATTATGCAATGTTGCGTTTATTTCCAGTTGAATTCCATAGTGTAATTGCACTATACCTTCTCCAGCTGTGATTACTGAGTATGGACACAGTGAGTACCATATCCGAGTTGGAGAGACCCACTGTTGTACACAAATGGGGACACACTAGCAGTTCAAGAAGGTGTAATGTAGGTAGTAGTGTGTGGGGGGATCCACCCTACATGGTTACCATTACAATAGGAATGGTGGCTCCTATAGGTGATGTGGATTTCCTAGGGCACAGTTTACATGGCTCTGTTACTTGAACCATTTTCTGGTGCTGGTTATACCATTAATAATGAAGTGCCTGAGGCACTTGTCCTCTGATTAGATATTGGTGTGGTCCAGGTACTTCACAGGGAGAAGGCAGGGATGAAATCATGGCATTCTTTCCTAGTTTTGACAGTGGGGCATGATCAGATAAGGTGCAGGGGCAACCAATGTAGAGGATGTCTGTAGGTGTGGGTGCAGGAAAAGAACTATTCATCTGTCACTCCCTTCCCTGGCTATGCACACCAGTGGACAGGGCAATGGCTGGAACTTTTCCCCCTTCTTCTTTCAGCTACACTACCCACCAAGGATTAAAGAAGAGTGGGTCCCAGATGGAGAGAGGCAAAATTCCTCTTAGCAGAGATACAGGGGAGTGAGAATGGAATGTAGCTGGCACCACCAGGCAAAGTTCTCTCTGGACTTTCCCAGACTATGTGCCTGACGGCAGGGTGATGGCCAGAGACTTTTCTATGCCCCCCTCCCCAAATTTCTTTTATTCATAATGCCCACTGGAGATAGAGTGGGAGTGGGTCACAGCTGGAGTCAGGTGAGATGCTCTAGGAATAAGGGCAAGCAGAACACAGCTGTCGTGGAATAGGGCAATGTTTTTCTCCAGACCTTATGAGGCGGTGCACACTGGAGGAAGGGCTATAGCAGGAGCAATTTTTTTTTTCTGCAGACCTTATGAGGCCATGCACCTTGCAGGCAGAGCTATAGCAGCGGCAGTGGTATCAATGGGCACTATTCATCACACAGGAACCTGCCTCAGTCCTGGCACCCATGAAAACCACATACAATGGGCTGTGCCTCCAAGCTCATAGGGCAGGCTCACTCTGCTTTCCTCCATATCACAACACCAACTCTCAGTCATGTCATGAGTCAGGTCTGATTCGTGAGGTAACCCACCCACTGAACCGGTGTAGTACACTAGGTTCCAGAGCTGGGAATATGCAGGGAGTGTCTGGCTCCTAAAGCAGTCCAAATCCAGACAATGAGTCCTTTTTCAGGATGGCTCCTGGCAAGAGCACCCTGGGGTTCGCTGGGAGATGAAGTGAGTTTTGCAAAGTCAGATTACTGTGCAGATTTCAGGCCTCTCATCTATTTAGGCTGAAAGCCTGCAGGACCATGAAACTTCCCATAGCCAAGACTGCCAGTATCTGCACTATAGAGTTTGTTAGAACTCTTTTTTTGCCTTTGTACCTGTGAAGGGGAGACTCCCCCTTGGCTGTGGAGACAGGTGATGGGATATTTTGTTTCTCTTCCTATACTGCTGCTGTCCATGTTTCTGGATTTTACAAGGTTTCTCTTTCTGTAGTGTTGATTACAGAATACTCTTGCAGTCATTGCAATATCCAGCTATACACCTGGAGATAAATTTTAGGCTGTGCATTTGAGATGTATTTTTTGATCATGTATTTATTGTTACCAGCTTCCTTCTCAGTACTATCATGATTGTTTTCTTCTTATTCTGTATATTTTTTGTTATTTTCCACCTCTCTTATTATTTATTTTTGTAATTTTATAGTTTTCTGTCATACTAAGGTTTGATTTTCTTCTCTTTCATGTATCAGTACTTTTAGTGAGTTTTGTATTTGTGTTTTCATGATGGTAGTTATATCCTTTTGTTTCTAGGGTAGGGCTGGTTTGGTGATGATGAATTCCTTCAGTTTCTGCCTATCTGGGAAAGACTATTCTTGAAGGATTTTTTTTTTCTGTGTATAGTATTCTTGGTTGGTAGATTTCTCCCCACCCAGGTCTTTTAATATATCATTCCATTCTCTTCTGGCCTGTAAGGTTTCTACTGAGATATCTACTATAAATCTAATGGGCATTCCTCTATGTATCTTGACACTTCTTATTTTTAGAATTCTTTCTTTTGTACTGTACTTTTGACATTTTGACTATACTATGCCTTGGTGATGGTCTTTCTGCCTCAATTTAGTTGGGGGTTCTGTGAGCTTCTTGTATCTGGATGTCTATGTATCTCTGAAGATTTGTGAAATAGATTTTCAATGCCTTTCTCCTTTTCCCCTTTTGTAATTCCCATAATGCAAATATTTGTTAACTTAATAGTGTCCCATGAATATCATAGGCTTTGATTCTTGTTAATTTTTTTCTTTTTTCTTGGCAGTACTGGGGCTTGAACTCAGGGCCTCACACTTGCACTTGAACCACTCTACCAACCCAATTCTTATCTTTAAAGTTCAGAAATTCTTCCTTCTGTTTTAGTCTTTGTGGAAGCTGTTCATTGTATTTTTTATTTTACTGACAAAAGTTTTGGCTCTAAATTTCTGATTTTTTGGGGGGGTGTGTGAGGGGGTACTGGGGTTTGAACTCAGGGCCTCCACTTGAGCTATACCTCTGGTCCTGGTTGTTCATTTTTATGATTTCTCTCATGTCTGTTTACTGTCTGTCTATACTCTTGCATCTTACTGAGTTTCCTTAAGGTCATTATTTTTAACTTTTTCATGCATTTCATAGATTTCCATCAAACTGCGATGTATTTTGAAAGATTACTTTATTTTGGACGTATTATGTATCTGTGTTTTCTGCACATCTGGTGTAACTCTTGGAAGAAAAGATTCTTGCATTTAGATGGATAAAGAGTGTCAGTTGAGTAGGTGTTCTGGCTTTGCTTACAAGAATTCAGAGTCATAGTATCTGTTTTTTCTTTTTCTATGATGCCAGCAGTGTCTACCAGTGCCTCAATAGTCTAAACTGCAACAGTTCATGAAGGTAGCTGTACAACTGTGCAACAGACACACACATTCAAAGGGGCATATCCTCAGGCTTCACACAGTCAAGCCCTGATCTCACTGGTGCTTGTGACAGCAACTACCACAGTCAAAATGGTGTGGGATGGGGAGAAGACTGTCACTAGATCCAACAGGGCAAGCACAGGTGGTGCCAAGGATTACAGAGCCAACAGTCTTAGTTTCTGAGCCACAGTATGTGGAAAAATTTCCTGTGACTCTAGGATGAATAAAGGAAATGCCTGGGCCTGTGGTACCAGAAGTCACAGGATGGAATGGGACCTTCACCAGGACCTGTGGGATGTGCACAGTTGATGCTAGGATCTATGTCACTAGTAACTGCAGAGATGAGGTTTTGAACACAAAGGACCCATTTCAGTTGGTACCAGGGCTTATAGCACTGTTAGCCACTTTTGTAGAACTGTGATGCACTTCCCTAGACTCCCCATGGCATGTACAGATAACATTTGGGCTTGTGGCACTGGAATCCATGCTCCTGGAGGTATAAAACATGGAGGAGACCTTCCCTAAGTCCTATGGGTCCAGCGTGGGGGCACCGGGGCTTGTGGCTTTGGCACTGGTAGTCATGTTCCCAGAGTGGTAGGACATGGGATGTTACCCTGGGCCTGAGGGACAAGCTTGGGTTATGCCAAGGATTCTTACACCAGCAGTTGTAGACTTAAGGCTATTGGCTAGGAAAAGACCCTCCCTAGTTCCTGTGGGGCACATGGTGCCAGTTTTGGGGAACTCGTAGCCACTACCCTAGAGCTGCAAATGGAACCTTTCCCCAGACCTCTGGGACAGGAGTAAGTAAAACTAGGGCTTTTTGCATAAGCAGTCCCAAGGCTGTGGTGAGCTGAGGTAGTGCTGGGGTTAGGGGCACTCGTAGGCTGTTTCTGAAGGCATGAATGGGACCTACCTGAAGTACCCAGGGGACAAGCATGAGTGATGCTGGGTTTTTAAACCTGTAATACCAATGTGTAAGGCACATCCTGGCTCTAAGGCAGGATGGGTTCTGGGGGGTCACTTGGGTTACTGTAAGTGAGTTACTTATTTGGAGCAGGGCACTCACTCTTAGATTAGCCAGATCCCCAAACTGGATTTCAAGCCGGTTTGTGAGAACTATGGAATTATGTAGTTAGGACAGGCAGTCTGCTGCTATAATTGCTGGCATTTTCCTGCTCCCCCATCAGACTAAAGTGCTGCAACCCAGGTATTCTGTGTGTTTAGGATCTCTGCCACTTTCTTGCTGATTTCCAGACCTCTCCCCAAACCACTCTCAAGATACGGTTTTTCCTTGTTGCTCTGGTTCTCCTCTATGGCAGCACTGCACTGGATGTACCTCTTAGCCATCTTGGATCCTCTTTCCACAATTTTAAATTAGATCTTTAAGGGAAAAAATTAGTTCAAAATCTCCCAAGTAAGTGTGCACTTTAATAGTCTTATGATTAAAAGCAGGTCTCAGGCTTAACCAACAGTCAATTGATTTCTCAAACATAATTTACAAAACTTTACCAACTATTCTTTCTTTCTTTAGTTACTAATGGGATATCTATAGACTAAATTCTGTTTTATTTGGTTAGAAAACTTCTTCTTATATGCTGTCAGTATTAAAGTCAGTATTAAAAAGAAAAGAAAGATGAGAGGTATTTTCTGCTTCATCTACTGTCCTCTTGTGGCAGACCTTCTTATTAAACAGGATTTTAGAAAGTAGGAAAAGACATTCAGGTTTGATTTTTGTGATGTTACAATACAGATTCATTAAAGACATGAACCACATAATACAGACCTATTCATCTTCTTAAGGAATAAATGAATTCTAGGACATTTAAAACATCTTTACCTCGTAATGAACACACTGGTCCATTTTCTTGATTCTTAGAGCGTTTACTTCTGAACTGACTTGGAATATCTAATGAGAGATCTTAAAAAGGAGATAGAAAAACAGATGTTATAGGCGTATGACTGCACTCAAAAATAATTCAAAAACTGATGTATTTCTAAAGATTTCTCTTTTTACTATCTTATTTTTCAAACAAAACACTAAAATTATTTTAATAAAACAGCATACCACAGCCAATCTACCTTACCTAGGAATGGATCAAACTTCCTTGATTCTGTCCCACATATGAGGCAGTTGACCTCGTTCTGGAGAATGCCTCCAAATATAGCTGTGACAACAGTTGATGCTCCATTTCTAAGGAAACCACCACACACAGAAAACACCTCAGTAAAAATTTCTTTGACATTTAAAACCTAAATTTTTGTGAAAGCCTTTGTAATAGATGCCTCCCAGTATATCATTTATATTTATTTAAATTACAAAATAAATAAACTTCAAAGATATATAGATGTATACTAAATAAAAGACTTAAGCCTCTGGCCTCCCTCAGCTCCTCTTCTAATCCCACTACCTTCTCCAGAAGTAATTAACACTGGCCATTTGTATTATAGCAAATGGATCTCATGTCTAACTATATGCAGGACAAAATGAGCACTTCATCCCTGCCCCTCCCCAATATAGAAAAGAGAGGCCTCTCATAGTACATGGATTCTTGAAACTATTTGACTTTGAACAACATTCTCAATCTCAGGAGGTAAAGAAATTTAATACAGATTTAGTAACTACTGCTGGAGATGTAATTTCACAATTGAAGGTGCTGGGGCTGGATATTACTGTCTTTTTTAAAAGCTCACCTAAAACTATACTATAAATATTTTCTTGTGGAGATCAAAATTTGATCAAACAAGGACAACCAACTGCCCTAATGTTGCATATCCTCTCTGTGCCTTTGCTCCAGTCAATATGAAAGGGAGTAACAGGAAGAGAACCTACCTCAGAGGCCTGGTGTGAAGATGAGTTACAGAAGCAAGGTGCTTTCAGAAGAATGCTACACCAGAAAGAAAGCACTCAAATGCTGACATTGTTTTATTAGCACCAAGTCAGATTAAACGTGCTCCTTGCTTTATTATTCTCCCTAAGCAGGATTATAGCGGCTGCATGGTGCACCACAGACCCAGGAACAAGAAAGGGCACCGGTGGAGAACAGGAGTAACAAGCACCTTCAGAGCACTTACAACACTACATGCAGGCGCCATTCATTAAGTTAATCCTCACAGCACCTCTGTAAGGCAGAGACTGTTATACTCATTTTGCAAACCTGGAAGCTGAGGCACAGAGGATAAGGACTTTGGCTCAAGGTCACACAGCAGGGTGGTCTAAGCATCTTCTCATAACACTATGCTCTTTATTAAACTATCATATTATTATTGTACTGGAGATGCATTGTGACATTTACAAAAGTTCTTACATCATAGCTGAATTTACCCCCACTATGCTCTTCTTAATCTAACCACAATAACATTAATAAATATAGAGGCGGCTTAAGATGTTTGCTGTCATCAATAGGACTCCAATGAACACATTAGCCTTTCGGACCTTAGGCAATTACTTAAGTCAGAAAATGCTCTTTTTTGCTAATTACAATTTGAGATGGTTTCTATCATTTGCAATCAATTACTCATACACTGAACTATACTTTCTGAGTCACTCCAAATTAAACCTACTACAATTATAAAGCAGACAAAACCTACCCAAGCAATTCTTCTATTTGAAAAGTTTGATTCCTTTTCTACGAAAGGGCTTCCTTCCTTTACTGGCAAAAGAAATGGACTAAGTTTATTATTTTTTTTTAAAGTGTAGTAAGACATACTGGCTTTAGAAATTTTTTTTTAAATGGAAAGCACACTGGGAACCATTAGGATATAAATGGCCATTTCAGGTTTTAGGTTTATACCTGTGTCATAAAGAACACAACAAAAACCATCTACTGAAAATAAAGAGACTACAACTAACCCTTTCGTGCATTCAAGGTTGCCTTTAATTAAAATAGGAACTGCTTCACTGAAAAGAAGTTAAGTGGAAACTCAATGTAGTTCTTCCTCTGTAATTTAGGTATACTATGACTTAAAACAAGATTCATAAATCAATTCCAAAACTGCTTGCACTTCCATTGTATTATAACTGCACACCAAGAATGTCTGAATATTGATTACTTAGGTTCTTATAGTGTTCTTTACATTAGCACTAGTAGTTTTGGTTTTTTAAAGACAGGGTCTCTATGCAGCTCAGGCTGGCCTCTAACTCACGATCCTCTTGCCTCAGCCTCCTTTGTGCTGGGATTGCAGACATGTGCAACCATGCCTGGCCAGAACTAGCCATTTTCTATGTATTAAAAACATGTCTACTTTATGTTTCTGTCATATCACCACCCCACCCCACCTTTAGTAGAGATGGGTGTGTTTGTATGCATAGACACAGATATTGCATGGGAGATCTTTTCTAGTTTTAGCAAACATCCTTGAAATGCCTCCTCCAACGTAGTAAAGGAAACTGGCATTTTTAATATTTGATGATACATTTTTTCTTTCTGTTCCTAACTTAAAAATGAAACTTGTGTTCATTAAATAGACTAATACTGATACTAAAGAATACTAATAGTGTTCTTTAAATAGACTAGTACTGAAAATTCACTAGGTACTAAAAAAACATCTCTAAGCATGATAGCATTGATTCCACAATGGTGCCCTGGGCATCATCTAAAATAATAAAGACATACTTCATACACACTGTCCTTCCTAGAGTGCAGTGTGTGAATATACAGTGATAAAATACAAACAGAATTTTTCACTTTGTGCTAGCAGGAAAACCAGTTTTACCAGGCCACAGGTCCTTGCCTTTCTACACTGGGGTCATAAGCATCTTAAGAAGTATGGCAATTCACATCACTGCCCTTCTCTGATACTAACAGAGGAGCTGAGGCTGAGTTGTCATCAACGTGTCTACTAAGCCACATCTATGGATGGCAGGCAGTACTGCAGTGACCTCTGTGTAGTGCTTACTCTTTTCTTTCTTTGGGGAATGTGTCTTCTTGTAAATACCCTTTCTATATAGATCAATACTGACAAATTTTTCAAAAATTTGAAGAAAATGAAACTTTAACTGACCAAAATCCAGACTAAAATAACTGTAAATCATTCCTCAGCAAAATAAATGTTCTGATCTCAAACTACATTTTGGCTGTTCTACATGGGAAAGCAATCCAAAAGGTTTTCTTTGTTCATATTGAGAGGCAAGAAAAAATTCACTGAAGAGATAAACTTTAGGAAAATTCACATTCAAAATATTATAAATTTTTGATTTTAGTGAACATATATAATTACTTTTATTTATAAAATTTAAGTCTACACACTATTCAATATATTTGGAGGATGTCAAACATTAAATTGTACACATATTTTTTACTATTTTTTTCAAATTTTAAAGTAGTCTATACCAAAAAATAGAATCAAAATCACACTAAGATGGAAATATAAGATGTCTCTGGTCTGGAAACAAGAGGCACATTTTAGCCCACTTGAAAAAGTTCAAGTCCACAAAGGTTTCAGCAAATGTCCAGGTAAACTCTCCACCTTCCATAAGTCTAACACATAGTAACGCCAACAGAAATGTCTGAGGCACTCGAAAGGCAAAAGGAAAGTAAACCTTACATGCAGCACTTGTTACTTGCAGACAGAGTAGAATTCTCCTGTAGAACTGATGAGCGGGAAACACCATTGAAGCCGCCCTGGAGTTCCAAGTGTAGGTGGTCCAAAAGGTAGCGCATGAATTCGTGGGCATCCTGCTGCTGATAGCCCCTTGAAGCAAACAGAAGCACTCAGTACGGGGGCTCTGTCTGACCAGCCAAACGCACCAGAGGCAAAGCATCAGGAGGGACTGTGATCTGTGCTCTTGAGGATGACTCAGCTTCCTCAGCCTTCACTCACTAGATACAACCATGATGTGTAAAATTTCTCTTCAAGAAAGAAATCTACTTAAAAACAACTTTGAAAACCCTGAGTATTAGAGCAAAATGGATTTGTAATGACCTCCTCCACTGACCTCTCCACTTTAGAGATGAGGAAATTGAAGGGCAAAAAAGGCCTATGACTTGCCTAAACTCCTACAACAAGAGAGTATCACAGATGATACTAAAACTCACATTTCTTCAGTTCATGAAAACTGGTGACTATGATTGTAAAGCAGTGAATAGGACCATGTGGTTAAGTACTGGAGCCTATCACCAGCCACTTTCCTTTTATGGGTGATGTTCTCAGCTTCCACAGCCAAGGTCGTTCATATTCTTGCATATCTACTAATGAGTTTGATGAAATAAAAAACCTCACATTTTTTGGATGCACCCTGAAACTTCTCACTTTTCCACAGAACATCTCTAGAAAAGGTTCAAATGTTAAAAGTTTTACCTAAAAAGTAGGTCTAAACCCCTACTATAAGACATAAAGAATTTAGAACACCTTAGATTGAAAAGTACTAATTCTTCAGCAATGCTAATAAGGAAGAAAAACTTCAGAGTTAAAAATACTTAACATTTTATACTTGTAACTTAATCTCTCATTCAAGAGAGATTAAACACTATTAAAATGCACTAACTCACATACAAGTATACTCTATTTTAAACCTGAATAAATGTAACAACATATTCTTACATTCCTATACTATACTCAGACAGGAAACTTCATGGAATTCTTATACTAATACAGATCGGTGAGAAGTAAATAGTAATGAAGACAAACAGAAAATACAACAGACACAGTTGGAAAGCCTGAGGAGACTCAGATACAATACAACAAGCAATAGCATATAAAATACTTTCAAAAACTATAACAGAAAAACTCCGTGTCTGTGTTTTGCCAATATGGAAAGTTCTCTTTAATTGGTCTCCTAAGTTTTTCTGGCCTGTTTTTAAGAGTCAATCACTCTCTACACATGGTTCCATAAACAAGCTTTCTTTCAACAAGTTTCCCTTATATATTTTTGCTGTTTTCTTGGAAATTATAAATTATGAAAACAATTTTCCTAATCAGAGGCACTTAAAGACAGAAGTCACTTAGCATTTCACTACAGCTTTTCCCAAGCTATTGTATTTAGCAACTTCCAACACATGTTCAAGTATTTCTTCTAAGGCTGATATGAATAAAAATGTCAAAATCCAAAGTTAAAATCATTCAAATTTGGTAGCTTTTCTATGTACTTAGGGAGGTGCTTTGAGTGTATTCAATATCCACTTGTTTTCATGACACAAAGGTAGGAACAGTATTATTCCTAACTGACACAAAGCTTCATTCTCTTTCCAAAATAACCTAAGCCATCATTTTCCTAAAATGTGCCTTGAAACCAATACCTTGTAGTTATACCAATATGTGTTTTTATCAGGTGAACGTATACCCAACCTTTTAATTAAAAAAAAAAAAAATGCTGGACAGGTGGAGTGGCTCAAGTGGTGGAGCGCCTGTCTAGCAAGCATGAGGCTCCTGGGGCTTGAACTCAGGGCCTTCACCTTGAGCCACTCCACCAACCCTTTTTTGTGGAGGGTTTTTTCCGAGATAGGGTTTCATGAATTGTTTGTCCAGGCTGGCTTTGAACCGTGATCCTCCTGATCTCTGCCTCCTGAGTAGCTAGGATTACAGGTGTGAGCCACTGGCACCTGGGACACCTGGAATTTTTGATTCTGACTAAAGATACATTTACAATCCCTCCGTTTAAAAAAAAAAAGTTTAGTTTTTGTGTGGTTTTTTTTGGCAGAAATGGGGTTTGAACTAAGAGCTTGACACTTGCTACTCAGGCACTCTACCACTTGGGCCATCCTACCAGCCCTAAAAAAATGACCTTAACTGACTTTGATTCTAGAATTAGGCAACACTTCATTCCATTAAAATAAGAGTATGTGTTTCCTATAAATCTACTTTTAAACACTTCAATATATCATTTAGCTGACTTTTCTGAAAGTCTTAATAAATATTATTTAGTGTGTTAAATTCAACAAACCTTAATTATCTTCTCAGTTATTTCCCAAATATACAATCCAGGCTCCAGAATTTCCTCTGTAGTCAACTTAGGTTTCTCTGTTTTATATTCACATTAACAGAATATTCCTTACATTTGGAGAAACATACTTATGTTTTGTGTAGATATATCAGCAATAATACCCAAACAGTTCCTTGTGAAGAAATGGGTTCATGAAGAACAAACTGGTGTCTCTGTGACAGACCAGAATTAAGAGAGAAAAGAAGACAGGGAAATAAAATGGCTCCAGTTTTAACATGGTTACTTATCATCACTTGTTGTTGACCTCCTCAATGTCTACAGAAAGAGCAACAGAAAATCTGTCATCAAGATGTTATGAGAAATTGTAGTTGGAGATCACACTGCAAATACAGAAAGCATGAAGGACCCTGAAGTACCTTTTCTGAAGAGAGGACAAAGGAAAGAGGAGCAATGCTGAAGCACAAGAAAATGAGGGCAACTATCTCTTCACAACAGTTTTCACAACAATTTTTGGAATATTCAAGACAAATCAAATTTACCCAAATCTTAAAGACAAAGGTCAGGTGTGGTGGCTCAAACCTATAATCCCAGCTACTCAGGAGGCAGAGATTAGGAGGACCATGGTTCAAGGGCAGTCCAAAAAGAAAAGTTAGCAAGACCCCCATCTCAAACTGGGCATGATGGTACACACCTGTGGTCCCAACTACATGGGAGGCTGCAGGTAGGAGCATCAAGGTCTGAGGTCGGCCACAGGCAAAGATGTGAGACCCTACCTGAAAAATAACTAAAGCAAAAAAAGGATGGGGTGTGACAGAGAGCCTGTCTAGCAAGAGTGAGTTCCTAGTACCACCAAAATAATAATGATTATGATGATGATGATAATGATAATAATAATAAAGAGAAATGTTCCAATAAAAAAATAACAAAGAAAAGGTTACTTGCACCTGCTCAAGTGTGAAAAGCAAGCATTCCAAATAATGAAACAGACACAGAGGATGCAGACACACAAATATCTGTGTGATGCAACAATATGCATAACTGACATATACCTGTGCATTACTGACTATTCTGTGCTTTGGCAGTGCCAGTACATAACCTATAAAATGTTAAAGACCAATAAGAGGTAGGATATACCTCTACAGAACCAAACTTTATCACTCTAGAATTAGCGTCCTCTAAAATACTAGGACACATTAGAATTTTAGGTTCTATTTATATTTAAAACATCTCTAACATTGATAAAAAGAATTCTAAGTTATTGTTGTAGCCAAACTATCTGCAAAACCAAAATATGTTGAGTTATTCTTCTCCAGCATTGGGCACCAATCATGGCTGAGTTTCCTTAAGACAAAAACACCAGAAAATGAAAACATCAGAAATGAATTTGTGTTCATAAACATGCACAAAAACTATACCATAGCAAATCTGCTAACTAGAAGAACTAATATTGTTTATAAAATATCAACAGCATGGTATTTTTTAAAGTCCCTCTCTAATTACAAATATTCCAAAAGACTATTAACATATTACATACAAAGAACTCTTTGTTGCCTACAAAGATCTATTATATTGTCTACAAAGCCAGGAAGAACAGCTAGCAAATAAGAGTAAGGATTCAAGCCAGGCACCGGTGCCTCACGCCTGTAATCCTAGCTACTCAGAACACAAGAGGTCAGGAGCATCGAGGTTCAAAGCCAGCCTGGGCAGATAGTTTGAGAGACTATCTCAAAAAAACCCTTCACAAAAAAGGGCTGGTGGAGTGGCTCAAGGTGAAGGCCTTGAGTTCAAGCCCCAGTATCACACACAAAAAAAAAAACCAAAGAGTAAGGATTCAGTAATTTATACTCCCATGACTTTTAAACATTAATTATAATAAGAACTGATTAAAAAGTTAAAGTAAGTTCTGCTTGGGGAAGTCGAAGCAAATAAATCACGTTGTATATGAAAGTAGAAATAGCATGTAAGTGAGAGGAAAAGCAAGTGAACATCACCATGACCTGATGTGAATTATGAAGAGATTTTCCTGAGTGTCAGCATGAAGCTAGATCCTAAAGAAAGATATGGGGATGGCAAGGCAAATGTTAGTAGGCAGAAGTACATGCCAAACAAAGATAGCAAGGCAACAAGACAAAACCATGTTACAGGAAGCAAGGAGTAACAAAGGCTGACATAAAAGACTATCATAATTACAAAAGCACATACCCTCTGGCCCAGCAATTCCTCCTTCAGATACCTGCATTTGTTTACATATTCATTGCAGCACTGCTTGGAACAGCAAAAGATTAGAAACTACATATAACCACTGGTAGGGGACTCTTCCATATATTATGACACAAGTATAAAATGGACTGGGGAAGCTACATACTAATATGCAAGTCAGATAATTAAAAAAGATGACAATCACCGTTTATGTTTAAAATTACACAAACACACTTGCTTACGCCTACACACAGATTATCACTGAAAGGTCACAAAAAAATCCAGTAACTACAGCTGCTTCCAGAAAGTAACATGGATGACTAGGGAACAGAATAAAAGAAAAAAACAAAACTCTCACTGCATATTTTTTTTAATCTTTTGAATCTGAACCATGTGTATTTTGCCTATTTAAAAAATAAACTTTCAAGTATTTTCATGGAAAAGAAAAGGACAGGAAGAGCAAGACATACCAGGAAGCCATAAATGTGGTGAAGTCAATTTTTATGTTGGAAAAGGTCTCTACTAGGCTTTTGGTTTGAGTAGGGACAACAGAAAAAATGTCAACTACATTTAGAGTATTTTATTCTGTATTCACTTAATAAATGAAAGTTGTTCCTACTTCTACACGCATGTTTACATTTCAGAGTCCTCGTATTTCATTCCAGAAGATTAGGTTCCCCAGACTTCATGTGTTAATAAAGAAAAATGGGTTTTCTAAACATAAAAATAATTGGTTTGGAACTATAAATAAAAATAGAAACACAATTCAAGACTCACTGTGCTTCCGCATAGGCATCTGATAAAACTCTTACCCGCATATCTAACAGTAATGAGCTACAAGAAGATAGCCCACCTTTCTACCTCACGCCTGGGTGCTATGCAAGCAACCATGCACTAAAGCTGTATCTGTGATTTAATCTCAGGTCTAGATCTTTAACAAAGAGAAAATTTTTTTGATTACATGAAAATGGGGGAAAATTACTGCAGAACTAGAAAAGAATCCAGCTAAGAATTTTAACACCTATTCTTAACCACAATTAAGGAAATTTAAGAGTTCACATGTATCAGAAATCACCTCAGAGACTCCAGATAAATTCCTCAACTTGGTTATCTTTTCTAAAAGCTCTTTCCCTTCACCAGTAGGAATATTTAAATGTGTAAATTAAGCAGATAAAAACTAAACTATGCACAGCTGGGCTATAGAAACTAGAATGGGCAGAGACGTGGGAAGATTTAGAGGAAAAGAATTATATTATATGAAAGTATGATATTGCTTCTAAACTTTTAAGAATGAAAGATCCTGGTCATCCTGGGGACCAACAAGAACAGTATAACATTAATGGGCCTCAACTTGAAGCACAGGAACAAATTACTGCTAATAGGTCTATTGTTAGCCAACTCTACAAACACGAGGGATCTGATTTTAGTCATAACACTGAGAAGATGTATAAGATTGAACAAGTCACTTCTTCTCTCAGTTATGACTTCTCTAAAATGGGGTCAACACTTCCTTCCTTGACTGAAATTTTGTTGTTGCTTGTTTTTTAATAAGTATCAGATATAAAATATGTAGCGCGTGCCACATAGTAGGCACTCAAAAAACAGAAACTATCATTATACAATAATTAAACACAAAGATTAAACCCCTCAAGAATCTAATTAGATGAATATGTTAGGAATTTTATGTAAAGTCCAAACCTGACAAGTGGTATCTGAACAGTCATTTCTATCTTTTCTACTTAAAAGTCAGAAAATCCTAAAATTCTTACAAAACTAGTCTCTCCTGAGAAGAGATTTAGATGGCATGAAACATAAAAGAAGTTTCCTTCAAACAAAGACCAGGATTAACAATACTTATTACCATCAGATCCTCAAGGTTAGACTTTTCAGCAAGACAATAAATTACAGTCCTTTGAAGTTGTTACCTTTTAAATATTTCTGTATACTAACAATAATCTATTAGGAAAGGGGCAAGGTATATTGCTAGGTTTTACTACAGTGTGCCTTTTCTAAACAAAGGAGAAGAATACACACTAGGTGCCAAAATAACTAGTGAGAACCATGACTTGCTTCAGAAGGACAAGATCAGTTGAATGTGGCCATGGCTGTTGTCCAGCACTTGCAGTGCCCCACATGTCCTAGGGATGACTAATCAAGAGAGGTGGAGCTCTTCTGACAGCACAGCAGCTAGAGAGAGGGTGGGTAACAAAGTCACCCTATGTCCACACTAGGATGTGGCACTGTTACCTTCCGAAGTGTGACTCCTAAAGAAGTGGCCAATCTCTTAGGAGCCTGGGACCCAGACAAAACCATGAATACAATTCCACAGATGTCTACTGATCTAATCTGGATTTTTTAGTTGGGATAACAAGACAGTGTATGATGGCGACTATTCCTTCTAAGATTTTGAAAGAATCAAGGAAATTGTCTATTGTGTTTTCCTAGCACACATAAGTTATGTATAAATGGTTTATTTAAAATAAACACATCTGTTTAGTCAGATGTATTCAACTTCTGTTCTAAAAACAAACAGCATTATTTAGAATATTCAGAAGCTACCACTTTATCAGAAATTATTTTAGTAGTATACAAAGGCTAACAATGTTTTTAAACATCCTTCTTTAAGACTTACCTAAAATTCGGCATAATCTTCCAAACAACATAAAACAAGGACTCTGGACTAAACGCAGTCTGGCTGCCTTGCCATAAAGCACAGAGTGTCTTTCTAAACTCTTCTACCAAAGACCTGGAAAACAGGAAGGAATCACACTCTTACCATTAGCGAAGGACTACTATTTCAATGCATAGTTTTTAATTGTTTAAGATACATAATGAAAAATGGAAAATTTAAAAGGCCTTACATCTTTTCTGAACAAGTTTGACAGCTAAGTAATAGTATCTCAAAAGCCCACATAATTAGCAGTAGTTACTGACAAAACTAGCTTTTTAACCACGTGGTTTACTTTGTACCAGAATACTGGCATAATTTATATACTGAATTTAAAGCAAACACACAGAAACAATAAAGCAGTAGATAATTTACAAGCCAAATTGACTAAGAATGTTCATTTTAAAACCTTAAAACAATCAGTAGGAGCTCTTTATCTCAAACTTTTCCTTCTTATCCTCACTAGGAGTACATCCTACACCTCTGTCTGACCATCTGCTCATCTCTGCACCAGGGTTCATGTGACCACAAAGCTTCAATGCTCAACTCTCAAATTTGAGAGTCTCAGTGACTCTCAACTCCAAATCTAAAAGTCAGATTTCTCATAACCACTTTTATTCAGGTTTTTCCAATGTCCAATAGGAATTTCCAACTAGAGGCTATCTTGTCACTTCAAACTCACTGTGTACTAAACTACAAAAGTACTTACAATTCTCTGTACTCTCCCTACTCTTACCCAATATTCATTCTCTTCTTCATTTTTTTAACTGAACACACGAACTCCCAGAATAAAAACACTGAGTGTGACTAACTTGTGAGGGAATTTCCTCCAAGAAAAAGAGTAGTTCTTATTAATCCTTCCTGCTTCCCACTAGTTGGAATGAGGATGTAATGGTGGACCTCCACCAGTATCTGGGACCATGTAGGTGGGTAAGAACCCCATCTTAGGGCTGGTGTAACAAAAAGCTAGAAGGAGCCCACTGACTTTGTAAAATAGGCAGAAAACCTGTGGCTTTTACAGAAGAAAATAAACCATACCTGTTTAAGTCACCGCTAATTTTGGTTTTTTGTATTAACTGATACACTTCAAGTTCAATTTCTGTATTTGTCAATATAACCACCACACTCGGATATCTCAGGCAACTTCAGTATTTTCTTTCTCAACCCCTATAATCTAGTAGGTGCCTGGAATGCAAATCGTATGACTTCCTAGGATTTAGCCCTCTTCCTATATTTGGGAAGTTCCCCACCTTAAGAGTCAGAGCCTGCCTCCTACCAGATGCTGAAAAGGTCAGGTGCTTGCTTCCATGCCCTCCCTTACAGTCAGAGCATGAGTACCTAGACTGGGTTCCACACATTTGAAGTAGGAGTTAGTGACACAAAGAAGCAAGGACAGCACCAAATCCTCCAGCAGGCATTGTGCTCAGATGCAACAGAGGTAGCAGTGTCCTTCCAGGACAATTCCAAGCGTGAGTGTGGCTGTGATGCTGGCTCCAGACCTGATTTTTCACCCATCCAACAATGGTTAGCTTACCAATAGCTCTTCAGTAAATTCATTTTCTGCCTAATCAGCCACGGGCAGTTTCTGCAGTCTATAACTAAGCCCTAAGTGACACTGACACATTACGTACAACTAATTCTTTCCTTAACTTTCCTCTTCATTTCACTATTGTTCTCCTCCACCCCCTTTCTGAAACAGTTAAAGCCTCCTTGAATGCAGGCTCTTTCCAGCTCATCCTATAAGCTGCTACCAAAGAAAGCTGCCTTCTATTCCATTCCATCCCTGTTCCAGTGCCTGTCTTTACAATCTCCCCATACTGGGGCTCTATCCATACTGCCTACTCTTCTCACATGTTCTATCCTGCTCTCCCACAGCCACCAAGGCAGGGAAGTGTTTGATTAAAAAATGGCCTATAGAATGACTGAGAATGGGGATGTGTGGGAATGGGGAGAGGAAGGCAGGGAAAACATTAAATACATACAGATTAAAAGTCAAAGCTCTATTTCAGTAAAGATAAGAAAAATGTGCCCCACATAATCATGGTAATATGGCAGATTTTCTGAACCCCAAATAGGGATGGCTACAATGAATTTGAATGTAAGTTGGTCCTTAATAATCACTTGACTGTTTTCTCCTTCTCCATAACCACTACAGATTGACTATTACCCTAAAAATTAATTTTATTAGCCCAAACAGGTTATCAGACAAATCAATTCAGATGAACTAATGATACTTACGTTAAGTCTACACCTAGAATTCTATTACATACATAGATGTCAATTCTAGAATGCCCAATTCTGCAAAGACTCAAGCAGAGTGCTAAGTTTATTCTTTTTTATTATAATAGAAATAAAAGAATTCCAACAATTGTTAAGATATTTAAAAACAATATTTAGAAGAGCTTTTTTTAAATGTGACTATTAACTCAAATAATACAATAAAAAGCATCAGCTAGTCGTTTGTTTTACAGCTCAAAGGAGAAAGGACATTCTAACAACTCACACATTGTTGTCCCCTTGGCTCCTGGTGTGGTACATTCGCCTTCCTGCTGTTTTTCCATTCCTTAACTCCACAGCTGGCAGTTCTTTGAAATAACAGCAAAACTGCTCAATGTTACTATTTAAAAGGAAGGGAAGAAAATTATTTTTCTTAAAGAAAAGACTTTAAAAGGATGGTAAAGAAAATACTATGAATCTGTATATGGATTTTGAAAATAGGATCTTTCAATTGTCTCAATTTAAATTGTACTCAATACAATGTCTTGCTCTGAGTTCCTTCATGATGGGTCATTCAGTCTAAGAAACAGTACAGACAAACAACGTTGTAGAAATGAACAAAGAACTTAAAATCTCTTTTCAAAAATTCCCCAATTTTCCTCCATCTATAGGTTGTCAACATTTCTCTTTTCAAGGTACTTGCATCCAATAAAATTTCCTCAAATAAAAACAAATTATAAAAACAACCATATTATTTAGATACACTATACAGAATTATAAGGAGAATTAAGTAGGAACTAGAATTTTTACTACTTTGAGCAAAACCAGGTAAGCAGAGATAAATAAAAAGCCTTGCTCTTTATTCACAGTGTGATTTAGGAAGTTAATCTCCTATGGCCTTTGATGCCTCATTAAAACCTGAAAGTACACAACTTTCAGAATAATTTCTTCTACTGACATCAGCCTTACTGACTTTAATATTACTATTTGTTTTACATTTTGAAGACTTCTAAACATGACCTTATAACCAAGCTGGAGGACTTAAACAATGACTAAAATCCTGCAGCCTAGGATCTGCAGACTATAGCCCATAGGCCAAATCTAGCCCTGACCACAGAGTTTTACATTTTTATGGTGAGTTTTAATATTCTTTGTCTTAATGGGGTATTTCTATGGTTGCCAAGGCTGGGTCTGAACTAACATCCTCCTTGCCTCATCTTCCCTAGCAACTGGGATTACATGCATGTACCACTGTATCCAGTCTAAGTTTTATTTTTATAAAGGTTTAAAAAGAAATTAAGCAAATGTGGAGGGGGAAAAAAATAGGAGCAAGACATGTATAATAATTACCATCCTGCCTCTCACAGAAAGAGTCTGATGATTCCTGCTCTAGCCCATTTAAGAAGCAATGGCAAATAGTAACAGCTAATAGTTATTCACTGTGTTATTACTCAGCACTGCTCTAAACACTTTAAATAACTTTCCAATTAGCTTATGAAGTAGCAATCATTAACCCCAGTTTTACTGATGAGGAAACTAAGGCACAAGGTATTGAAGTAACTTATTCCAGACATAAGACTGCAGTCTGTGGCAGAGACAAAATCTGAACACAGATTCTTTGCTCTTAACCTGTAATTCAGTACTTAAGCTCTGACTGCAGTGTTACCTGAGTGACTGGAGAATGGCATTCATGAAACATGTGTTGCCCAGATTCCGAAGGCCTGTTGCACAGATGGCAGTGGTGCTCCCCTGTAAAATGAAATAAGGAGGCCATCAGTAACGCCAAGGGAAGGCTGACTGCTTCAAACACTGAACCTAAGCAAAGGCCTCAATGTGAAATTCTAGCACCAGACCAATCTCTCTAATCAGTATTTCAAGCTCCCTAGTCTCTGTGTGAGCAGAGTATTTTTGTTCCCTAACTTTTAACTGTAAGCCATACATACATGACCGATATGCATTTTGCTAGCATAGAATATGAACCGTAAAAATCTACCTGAACTTCTCTTAAAAGACTGAGGTTTGTTTTTCTGATTAGTTCTACAAATGCTCCATGATGTCCAAATACTACACCAGGAGGTAAATCTGCCAATCCAATCCAAAGCATCTCTTCTCATAATTCAGATGCCCATGAGAGTATGGTAGCTGTTTCTTTCGCAAAATCATAGTATCTTAAGTGCATGCCCAAACATAGCTAGCGTGACAGCAAATGGGTAACTGCAGGGCAAAAATATTGGTTAATTTAAAAATATTTAGTGGTCTTTAAATTTGTTAACCTATTAATGGTTACCAGAATGAGGATGCATACTATTTTATGGTGAAGTTATATTGATGAAGTCCTAAGAAAAAAAATTTACCAAAAGTTCAGACCTCTAGAATTTATACTAAGGGACCTTTAACAGAAGGAAGGATAGATCATTTAGAGTCCACAGAAATGGAGCAATAAATTACATGTGACAGGTTTTCTAAGGCAGAGGAGCAACAGTAATAATTCTGATGGGAAGAAGGCACTGAACATGGACTCACTTGGGTCATCAAGAAGCATTAGTACAAGTGGCAAATGTTTTGTGTAACACTCCTAATCAAGGCACAGATTAATAAAAGTCCACTAAAAATGATGCAAAAGAAAAAAATTACAAACAAAAGTTCACTGAATGTTAGAGTTACAACAAAACAGTCATTAGATCTCAACTCCTTGAATAAATTTTACTTACATTTACTTTTAATAACTTGCTGTTTAGTGATGAGTTTTCCATAAGTTTTCTTTTCCTATGCCTGTCAGCTGTGAAAGCTGAGCTATTAAAACACAAACATAGCAAAAAAGACATTAATGTACACATGCGACATATCAGGCCAAAGAACAACCTAAAGCTGCCCTTGGTGTCCAGGGCATAAGCCCAGTCTACCTGCTTAATCAGGCCATCAAGTGACCAGCCAGGTCACAAGTATTTGAAGTTAACTGAGGTGATCACTTCTTTGGCAATCCCCACTGCTTCTCCACAGCAGAGCCAGAGCTGGATGCTGCTCCCAGGAAAGCTGACCAGGCAAGTGTAATCTGTGCGATATGCCACCCCCATCTGCCTAATCAACTGTGAAGTTTCAATACTGAGAAGACCCTCTCCTCAGGACAAAGGAAAACCCTGGTCTAACATGAATGATCTAAAATTTAATAGCCAGTCTTAAATTATATGCTATTTCCTTCTTCGTTTGGAAAACAGCATCATGTTCCACTCATAAACCTTAATAGATTATAGTACAATCTGAAAGGAATGAAAATTATGGGAACAGAGGCATAAATAAAAGCATCTGATTCAGTTATGCTGCAAAGGACATTCTAAAACAAATACTAATTAGATTAGAAATTCTGAGTTAAAAGTCATTCAAAATTTTTCTGGATGAAAGGTATTTTGCTTAAAATTTATTAGAAACTTATCCCTGTATCTAAAAGATCACTCTTAAATTATTATGTATCAGGAGACCTAATATGAAGGAAGTAAAAAATACGGTTGAACAGACTTTTAAGTCTGCCAGCTCTTTCCCATCTTTTAAAAGTACTAAGCAAATAAAAAGTAAAGACACAATTAGTTTTCCTTCCAGAATTCCAACACAAACTATAGTGTCTTTGTATCATCAATCATTTAGTGAAAGTCAGCTGCTTCAAACCCCAAAAATGTTCTTCAGAACTATGTGTCTCCTAGACTGTTGGTGACTGTAAGATGAAAAGACCAATTCCATGTATCACAGTGCTACATTATTCCCTCACAGACTGTGTAAGTGAAGAAGGTGAGTCACAAACACAGTGTATGTGCAACTTAGTGACAATGCCTAATAATTTACAGTTTTAACCTATATAAGTAAAGCATTTGGCTTTTTAAAATTGAAGTACTACATTTTACACTCAGTGATTCTCAAAATGGCAGAATCCTCTAAATGCACACTATCTAATACTGTAGCCACTCACTACACATGGCTATATAAATTTAAGGTAATTAAATTTAACAAAAGTTTAAAATTCAGTTTCTCAGTTTTGTCAGCATCTTTTCAAGTGTTCAACAGTCACGTGTGGCAAATGGTTACCATATTAGAGAGGGCAGATCCTAGAACAATCACTGTTGAGCTGGCATGCAGGCCTACCCAAGTGTAATGAGAGCTTTTGCATTCCGTTGTGTTTCACAAAACATAAAAATAAACTTAGGTGATGTTTCTCAACACAGGAAATAGACTGCAAGATGGGTTCTTCAGTAGGGCCAATAAAAGGGTTTGAAGTAGTCTATGACACCTTTTACTTAATGGAGTAGTCAATGGAGACAAACTATTTCCTGACTGTATAAACATACACATGTTCTGGAAGGCCCTTTTCTCTTTGACTTACTTTGGATTGATATAGCAGCCTATTCTTAAAGAAAACTTAAAGTGGCAAACAAAATATTTTGATAGCTACCTACTTATGTAACAAAGAACCAAGCATGCAAGATCTTTACAATGATATCAGCACACAAGAGTGTGATACTACACGAGCCATAGCAGGAATCTTCTTTATCTTGTATACTGAGTGATTTCAAACAAAATTAAATATTTGGATCTTTCTACACTTATGTCTCTAATTCTATATAGGCCCATGATGCTCCTTTCTAATAAAAAGGAGGGTGGAAGACTTTGAAAAAGAAGTACTTGACAGAAGTACTTGAATCCAAATTTATAATCTACTTAAACAACGAAACATGCAAAAAGACTTTGGTGAATGCTGTACAGTACTTCAGTGGAAGAAGACATTTCCTCAGTACATCTAAAACATTGCACTGGCTTTACATTTAAATTTGCCACCCCTCCTTTGGGTACGTTTTCAAAATACTATCTCTATGTCAACTGCCAAAATAAATCAGATGGCACCTGGTGATTTGGAGTGGTTTACAGACTTCACCTGAGTCAGTAGTCACTCTAGGTACATGTTTCTCTCCGCTGTAGATTCAAAGGCTTTGCTATTTGGCTTTCTATTTACTGCTTCAATTCCAGGTCCAGTGAGTTTTATCTGAATAAGCAATTTGGCAATAACATGAAAAGTCTATTCATATAAAGTCTTCAATTTCTTTATGTTCACAAAGCATTCACAGCTCTTTGTAATTTCAAGTTATATGTGCTGCCCCTAACAAAAAATGAAGAAACTTGAATCCTGTGCTGTAGTACAGATGCAAAGTGTCCAATATGACACTTCTCTTAAAATAATACATAAATCTTAGTCTACACAGAGCTCAAATTACATTTAACAGATTTTCTAATACCAAGGGTAACTCTGTAATTAGATTTTTATATCCTTTACTGCCTTTTTCTTGCACCCCCAAAACTGTCCTTGCAAACAGATCAAGTAGCTTGTAAATTTATGGATAACAGCAGGCTCCTGGCTCCCTGGATATGGCTTATGATTAAAATTAAATGAAATATGAGCAAAGTTTCAGACATCAAAACCCAAGGCTTAGTTTCTCAACATTTCAATCATATTAAAAAACACGATGAAGCCAGGTGTCAGCAGCTCATACCTGTAATACTACTTGGGAACCTGAGATCAGGAAGAACACAGTTTGCCAGCCCAGGCAAAAAATTAGTGAAACCCCATGGCAACAGAAAAAAAGCTGAGCATGGTGGTACATGCCTGATATCCCAGTGAGAGTGGGAAGCCTAAAATAGGAAGATTGTGATCCAGGTCAGCCTTACACAAAAAGTAAGTCCCTATCTCCAAAATAACCAAAGCAAAAAGGGCTAAGGGTGTGTCTCAAATAGTAGAGCACCTGCTGAGCAAGTACAAAACCCGGAGTTGAAGTTCCAGTACCACACACACACAAAGATGAAGTTATGGAACTGAGAAGCCAAAAATCCCACTCAATTCTAAATAAACCCTCAACCCCATTACATCCTCTTCTCTTTCCTGAGACCTACTACTTACTTTTCCAAGTTCTGTAAGTGTTCTCTGACTTTCTGTACCAGTCCCAGCTTGGTGTCATTAACCACGAAATCATCACAGCGATAACTGCAAGGAAAATATTAATCAATGCGAGTGAAGAACTTGAGGAAATTACAGTAATGAAATCACTAAAAGGCCTGACTGCTGCCAGGATGATTACATGGCTCTAGTCTAGGCAGTTACTGTAGGTGGTAAGTTCAGAGAAGATTTGAAATCCACAATGGAATGTTTAAGAGCCTCTTTTTAAAAAAGCCACGTAGGCAATGAACACTAGCTTTTTTTCACATTTTTATTTAAAAGCTCTTCAATTCCTCCTTTGAAAATGAAATAATCTTCTACATGTGTTACATTCTTTTTAGTGGTACATAATACATGGAAATAAAAAGCACCAATTCTTTTCTTGGAGCATAATGCCTGAAGCTTAAAGGTGACACTTCTAATCCAAATTAATGAAGAATTTGGGGAAGAAGAGATTTAAGTGAAAAGCAAAGAAAGGTAATTAGCCTGTGGGAGTATCTGAATAGAAAAAGTAAAAGCTATACATTTTAAATATAATTTAATTAGAGTAAAAAGAATTCAGATGAGTTAAGAAGAATGTATCTTTCATTTGGAGGCACTAAGAAACAGAAGTATGAAAAATACGGAACAGCTGGCTACATCTTTCAGGAATTTCCTAAGTGCTCTAAAGAAAAATGTTGACGGTGTTTTTAAAAATTTATAGTGTATATTTTACACTATTTTCTTTTAGTAAGTCAGTAAGCAAATAATATAAGGAATAACACATGATAAATGTTATCTTGCAATTAGCATTTTCCTGGAATGATGCCAATTTTAACAAAAACAACTCACAGGCTAGCATTAAAATATTTTTTAAATATTCAGCTTTATATAAAACGATGTGCGATAGCTACTGAAAAATAATGAAAATAACATTGCCATTCTGAGCAAACAAAACTTTGAAAGCAAAGCAATTAGTAAAAAGTAAGTTATCTCTAACAGAATCCAAAAAAAAGTCTCATAAATCAAAACCTATTAAAAAAAAAAACCAAGAAAGGAGTGGAGGGAAAGTAATGAAAAAAAAAATCAGTTACACACAAGAGCACGGCTTGTGACTTTTATTCAGGAGTGAAAATGTTTAGTGAATACTTTTGAAAACTTAACTAGTGTTACCTATGCAATTATATGACACACACCTCATTAACTGACCACCTACACTGTCAATCAGGATCTCTCAAACATTCTACACTTGGAGAATATTAGTAGCCCCAATATCTCAACACATTGCAAAAGTAATCGTTTATATCCTATACCATCTTTCCATGATCAAAATCCCAAAGACCAGATTCTTTATTAGTTTTATAACCAATTCATAAAAGAACTAAATCAGTGAAAAGGTTTAACTCTTTGCTCCTCTCAGATAAATGTTAACAATGTACAACCTACTAGCACTTGGGAGCTCAATAAAATTTAAGCATTCACTAAAGAATAAAACTGAATTATTACTCTACTTTAATTCCCACTTACATTTTCATTTTACATTTCCATAAATTTAGCATAAAGTTTTGATGAAACACTACTTGGTGTTCAAAATAAAAGTCACTCAAATGCTAGAAGTCTACAGGAAAATTCCTATCACTTTCCTGTATTAACAGGATGCCATTAAATGTAACTGAAAAGTAAACCCCTAACATCCACAAAAAGGTGGTTGCTGGCTGGAGGCATGACTCAAGTGGCAGAATGCTTACCTAGCAAGCATGAGTCCAAACCCCAGGACCTCAAAACACAAACAAAAAAGAAGTGGTTGCTTTGTTTAAAGAAACAAATTGTTTCAAATTAAATGACTGATTTATTTCTTAAAGGATTTTTTTGGTATGACATGGATTCAGCCTAGAATATAAAATTACACTTGTTAAAGAACATTTTTATATATTGAAATGTAGCCTTAATCATAACCTTGTTCTGTTCTTAACTAGTCTGGCTCAATTAAATCAAGCTGCTTCATTTCTCTAGATGAACTGGTTCACTTTCATCACTGAAGTGAGTAAGTTGCTCTAGACTCCAGAGCTATGTTAATGTGATTAATACAATTAGCCACCAAGCAACTATCAGTAAATAAAGGACCTTTCTAAAATATTAAAGATAATCAACTCAGTATTTGAAAAACTGCAAGTACTTTTATTTTTTAGTTTTAGATGAGATTTAACAAGAGATACTTCCCCAATTAATACTAAGGGTATGTTTTGCCCCAAAAGACTTACAAATGCACAAAGAAATGTCTTCGTTTACTTGCAATCTTAAATAAAATCAATTTAGAGTTGTAAATATTTTTTAATCTTTTACAATTCACTTTCAACTGATATGAAAATGTTTCTATCAAGACAATGTCCCATTAAAGCTCTGGACTTACTGGAATTCTTTCCCTGATTATTTTGTTCCACTATGATACAGCAAATATCTGCCCTCTGAGGATGACGATATCATGGAGGAAGCAATTAAAATCAGTTAGCGTATATATATGAGTACTATGAATTTGAGCACTATGAGTTTATGGAACCATTAAAATGAATGGAAGACAGTGAATTTAATGACCACACCTGTTCTTTGTCAAAACTGGTTACTTTTCATGGAAGAGTTTTACAAAGATTTACTGTACTGTAAACTAACTCAAGATTTTCTTGGGCTGAGGGCGTGGCTCAAGTGGTAAAGTGCCTGCCTAGCAAGTGTGAGGCCCTGAGTTCAAGTCCAAGTGATTTTGTCTATTATCCGAGGCATTGACAGTGAGAAATGAAAAGTGTGGAAAAGTTTCTTTTTTAAAAATAAAATCTACTAATAGTTTGAATGTTAAAAAAAAAAGCAAACTATATTTTTTCAAGCAAAAGAAGTGCTTGTCAATATTCAAGACTCAATTTTTTTTTTAATCTATATCCCAAAGCAGATGAATGAGCTGAATTTGAAAATCCACAGAATAGCTTATGTGTGACCTAGCTAAACAAGTACAAGAATCTATGTTAAAACTGAAACTTTTCATAGCACAAATAATGACTTTACATATTTTTCAACATGAATAAATGTGCAGATTTTAATTGCAATACACATGATGTAAATTGATTGAAAAACCTGCAAAAAATTTGAAGAATACTTTGTTGATACAGACAAACTCAAGAGTTGATTTTTAAATTTATATGATGCCCACTTGAATTTCACATGATAATACAGTTATCACAAGAATAATGGATTTACTTGAACGATGTTTTATAAGTGGTACGGTTTCATTTCCAAATCAAACCAATTGTTCTTATGAGTTAGTTTTGCCAATACAGATGTAAATATTAAAGAAATATTATTTTTGATACTTCATTTATTAAAAGACTTTTAATATTTAGAAGTGTGTGAATCTATTTTTAAATGCAACTCTTATGACTCATATAGACCAAATATTTTTAATGAAAATATGGCACTTGAATTGAGATGTCCTATAAATGTAAAATTCACACTGGATTTAAAAGATGTTATATGAAAAAATGCAAACTATCCCTAATAATGTTTATACTGATTACATGTTTATATGATACTATCTTAGATATACTGTGTTAAATAAAAATTTTAAATGAATTCTGTTTCTTTTTGCTTTTGGGATCTGCTTTTAAGACAGGCTCTTGCTGTGTGGCACAGGCTGGCCCTGAACTTGAGATCCTCCTGCCTCCGCCTCTCAAGTGGTGCTGGGTTAAGGTATGCACCACCACACCTGGCCCTCTGTGCTTTTTTTATGGCGTTAGGCATTGAATCCAAGGCCTCACACAAAGTGCTTTCACCACATGAGCCATGCTCCTAGCCTTTTTGTTTATATTTTGTTCTTAAGATATGGTCTTGCTAACCCTGTCCAAGCTGGGCAATCCTCCTACCTCCACCTCCTGATGAGATACAATGATAGGCATTTGCCACTATGCCTAGAAGTACTACTAGAAAATTTTAAATATGACTTTCATTATTTCTCTTATATAACATTGATAATTTAGGTCATCTACGACACTAATCTGCTCTAAAATTCTGTAATACTACCCAATATCATGATGGGGTAACTGATCTAATCTTACTGAACTATAAGAAGTAAATTTTATTTTACCTGGATTTGTTTCATAGGCTTAAAACATTTTTTTTTAAAGTTTTACGACTATCCTTATTTCTCAAGAGCCAATCTAAGTACTCTTATAGTCACTAAGAGGAACACTTACTTTTCAGGATGTAACTTTTATGCTGTCTGAATCTACCACACTACACAAGAGTTTTACTTATTATTTAAGAAAGCACCTGCTTTACAAATCAAAGCTTCTAAGAGTTCCCAGCATGTGGAAGAGTAAGAATAAACGTTAATTTTCTTCCTCTGGGTAACCACAACCTCACAGCACAAGCCTCTCTAGCTACCAAGATTCACATTTTTATTTCTTCTTCCTTCCTAGCCCAAGAACAACAACAGCAAAGTGGTAAAGGTGGGAAATAAGTGAAAATTTAAGTGTTGCCTGGCTTCTTAATCTTTACATGAAACATTGCTTTCAAACTTGAAGTTATCACATTAATATGGAGTTTAAAAGTCCCCAGGAAAACAGTAAGCTAGTTCTAGAAAAATCTCTTCTGGTTTGCTGCAAGTGTATTGAAGCTATTTGGTTACATTTATGTTCATCTTTAACACCTGAAAAAAAAATTTAACCACTCTTCTTAAGTTTCTCTTCAAGAGAATTATTACATACCAGAAGTACAAAAAAGTGCCTAACTTAAAGGCTGTGGTTCAAAAGCTTATAGACTCATCCTCTGAAAGTTGAACTGCATTTCCCATTTCAAAATAAATGTTACAAAAAAGGCCCTATATGAAAACGTATTCTTCACAAACTACAGTTGAAATGGTATTATAAAAAGTTCTACTCCTTGCTTCTTTGTAACTTGCACTAAGAAATTTTGAGAGGAGAAATCTGGGCAAGATTCAGATAACCTACTCCTAGAAGAGAAAGTCCAAATGGATCAGCATCTCTTAACACATACAGAACTTCATGTGCTAAACAAACAGAGGTCAG